TCCCTACTGTGAAGATTAAGTGAAACGATTCAGTGTTGACTATGTTAGACATTTGATTTGCATGAAAACAAACATCATATATGTTTGCTGTATCATGTTGTAGTATAGTATACGGTTTCACCTAATTTGTGAAAATACATCTTCCGATTTCAATTTACAACAACATAGGATTTAAAATCTTGATTATTGAAAATTGGTATTAACGGAAGCAGCTTACCTTACCATAATAATTCTCATAATAAGCCTCACTTATAATTTTAGCTTCATACCCTAATAGAGGCAATGAAGCCCCCTTGTTTATAAACACTACACAACATTTTAAAGATCCTTTACGGATTATAAATTTCAAAAAAATTATAACCATATTATTTACTGAAAAAGCAAAATCTATTTGTGTAGGCAATTCATTAGTATGTACTAAAAATGTTTTTGGAAATATTTTTGAAAATTGGGATTCCTAAAAATGGAACATTGTACAAACAACTGTTACACTAAAATATTAAAAATGAATGATATATAGTGATTTGAATACTTCAAGAAAATGTTGTCTGTGAAAATGCCTTAAGTGTAGTACCAATTTTTCATGGCTGGCATTATATTTGCAAGAACCTATCATACAACAGGGATGTGGTTTTTTTGCATTATTTTGCAAATTGCAACTTTTCTTCATTGTAATATCTGTTTGTGTATGGACAGATGATAATTTATTAATTTTGAAATTATCTGTTTGTGTATGAACAGAATGGACTATATATTTAGTCTGTACACTCTGGTCAGTTTGGGATTTAATATCTTTTTTCTCCTCCTCTTCTATACATAACTAGAAATTGTAAAACTTGACAAGGTAAAATGTATTGTTTTAAAACACAAAGACAAAAACTATAAAAAAAATTGTAAGTATGCGATAATCGGTAATTTCACACATTAGAAAAAATAAAAATATAAAAAAACTTTGACTTTTGCTAGATCTCAAGTATTAATGCAAACAAAATAATATGAATATAAAACCTTTAATTGTTCCAAAGTGGATACCAAATCTTGTGCCACAAAATTTCTGGCCACATCTTCTAAAAAATCACTAGTACATATTGGACATTTTTTTAATTGTATCCTACACAGATCGCAAATTGAATGTCCTTTCGAGCATATGAAAATAGATGATTCCGGTATTACTAAACATACCGGGCATTCCAACACTTTAGTTAATCTCTCATACCATTCCTGCAAAAGTATAAACTATGAACATCAATGGAATACATTAAAATTAACTTACAATCCTGTAAATACGATCTACTCAAAGTTAAGATTTTAATATGTGATTAAGAATAATAATAAAAATAGGAAAAAAGAAGTAGTAAATGCATATACATACTTTATCTTCCATTTTTCAATGATTGTTTGCTATTTAGAGTCTGATATTCATATACTATTCTCTTTGATCGTTGAATGGTTGAATGATCGTCTAGTGTCCACTCCGCGTTCGCGCTCTCGGTCCATAGTTCACGGTAATGTAGACAGTGATAGTGATGTAAGATTTGAGAATTTCCTACTTCAGCACCGTCTGAGGTGGAGTGATGAAATTTTGATAACTTGGCATACATATATACATGTGTATGCATGCGAGTATGTACCAGCGCTACGCATGCACCCTTGCTCACCATTCGCATATACGTGAACTCGACACTTCGGTTTAATGCAACATAAATTCAATTGTACTCAAATATAAATATCTCGAGATTAAATGATTAGTATAAATATTACGAGCGTGCAATTTATTTTGCATTATGGAGGAAAACAGAAAATTATATCTAATACTTGTCTTAAAGTAGGGAATTCGTATTCATTACTTGTGTTTTTCTTTGATCAAATATGTTTCCACATTTTATTACAATGAAAATATTTATATTTTGCCTTCTCATTGTCATCGAAGTAAAAATATAGTTGTTGCCATTCTATTTCTAGTAAGCTCAAATTAATCTTTTTAAAATTAGAAGCACATTCAAAACATGAAAACATGGATTTTTTTACTTTCCGATTCTTTATTTTCAACCAGTAGAAAACTTTGTTGCCCTCGGCTCAACATTGATTCTTCGATGGTTCTCTATTCTGTATTGAGAATCGATGATCACTGGTATAAAAACATGTTGGTGTCGGAGTGTTGAGAAAGTGAGGACTACATTTTGAATATTACTGCGCACTTTCTAATTTCATCTTCCTCTATTCAATAATCCAGTATATAATTTAAAGAGAGAAATGAAAACGACATACATATGTACAATGTACTGCATTTTATGTATGAAATCAAGCTCTCTCAATATGAGATTATGAATATAAAAGATTTCGACAGAAATCTTGTCTTTGGTATATGTATATAGTCCGTGTGTAGAAATAGACGCATGTTTCGCATGATTATTCACATTGATTCATGTTTCCACATTGACTAGACTTCTAAAAAAAATCGTTTATTAAATTATACATACTATATTCCATAAAAAAAAGATTGAAAAAAGTGAGATAGAACATCCATAAAAAGACGTGGGTTTTGGTGAAAAATTGAAATCGCGACATCTATTGTTAAAACAGTCGCACTCATTCTAGGGGTCAATGTGCTTTTACGGCTTTTACTCTAGAACGTACAGGCTGCGCAAATTTTTCCGTTAGTGCGTTTTCGTACTACGTCAAATAAACGTTGTTCTGTATGGTTGTGCTTCAAGTTGTTGCCCTTTCAATTAACAAAAGGTAATAACGAAGCGAATGCTTGTGATGACAGATCAAAGATCGCACCAACTAGCTAGAAACATTGTAAATGTTGATGATTTATAATTACATGGTACACTGAATCGAGTCCTATATTATCGTAATGACAAATTTCACACTTTCATATTACCTTATCAGGTCACTCGCAGTTAGTAATACCTGTTACTACGTACCACAAGAGATTTTATAATACTCAGAAATGTTGGAGTAAACAGTACCTTCTCTATGAAGATTACAAACATTTTTTTTATTTCGATATTTTTTGAAAATATATATTCTTTTCTCATGATTACCGAATTATTTACTTCAACTAACTTAGAAAGCTTTTCAATAAACAATAAGTCTTTGACATTATATTGAAATACAAAACTATTTGGAATTATTATTTACAAGTAATTATGTACATTACTTATTTTGTAGCAGTGTACATTAAGAAATGGCGATAGACTTCAATCCAAGTGATCCTGAGATACGGTTATCAAGATTTCTTTATGTTGGAAAGGAATATTTAGATTATCAACCAGGCAATTGGTTTGTTCACAATTATTTTTTGGCCAAAAATGTACCATCTATAGAGGAATTAGCTGAAAATGCAGAAAAGCAATTAGTTCCAGTCGAAATAATAATAAAGGTAATATTTTACCCTCATTAATTAAAGCAATCAATAATAATTGTATTTATTTACAGGCATTTGAAAGTAATCTTGTTCCAAATCCAGAAACATTGGTATTTGCACTTGCCGTGTGCTGTAGACAGATGAAAAGCGAGAGCTTGAGACATCAAGCTTATGCAACTGTGAATAAAATTTGTGCATCGCCACAACATTTTATTTTGTTTATAAAATTTGCTTCCCAAATAAGCAAGCAAAAAGAATTGAATTCATCTGGTTGTTCAAAAAATGGGTGGGGCCAGGGTTTCAGGAAAGCTGTAAATAACTGGTACTTATCGAAAACACCAATGGAATTAGCAAAATGCGTAACAAGGTACAAAGGCAGATATGGTTGGAAGCATAAAGATATTATAAAGTTGTCCCATCCTGTACCTAATACTCCTGGTATTTATTTTATTAAAGTTCAATTGTCAGACAAATGATTATATTTTTATTAAACAGTGTATTGTTAAACAGGAGGAGAGATAGTCCTTAAATACATAGTACGTGGCTTGGATGAAATTGAAATGCAAAAATATGCAGAGGATACTAGATTCGCAGAAATAATAGAATACATTAAAAATGTAGAAGATTTTAAACACTGTAGGGATGACGTGCGAGCAGCAGGTCTTTTAGAAATGCATAATCTAACATTGGATCATGTACCTGGGCATTTGCTTAAGTCCAAAGAGGTAAAAGTACATAGAGAATATAAATTTGTTTTTGGATTTCCTAATTCTATTTATTTTATCAGTAAATTTATTATAATTTCTAGATTTGGGATGTGTTAATATCATCAATGAATTTAAATTTGCTATTGGCCAATCTACAAAGAATTCATAATCTTGAATTGCTGAAATCAAACACATTAACAGTTACTAAAATAATAGATCAAATTGTTAATGAAAGCAATATTGCTCGAGATAAGGTTCATCCAGCTTTAGTATTTGTTACGATACGGGATTATGAAAACTCAGGAAAGTAGGTAATAAACAATAAGTAAAAAATAGGCCATTGGTGATAGCTTCTGATACATCATTTTTTGAAGGCCACTGTCATATGAGAAAAGAAAGATCAAGGAGCAGTTTTATAAACCACTACCGGATCCGCCCAGGCCAAATCCTAAGATCGTCGATGCTCTTTATAAAATGTTAGATCTTTCATTTCATGTGAGTATCAATGGTCAACTCGACGATACGTTATCGAATTCGCTCCTTTGTAATTTATATTTAATGCAGCATGTTCAAGCGACCGGTTTACGTTACATGATAACGATTAATATGAATAAAGTGATGTTAGAAACACATACCTGGCGCAGTGGTAATGTGAACGGTGCAGAAGCAGGATGCATGATCGCACTTGCGCTTCTTCGCTGTGAGAAGAACGTCACCGTTTCGATATTTAAAAACGTTGGAGTTCTTACTGTCAGCATTGATAAAAATGCTCCGTTTGACCAGGCATTTACGCATTTACGGCATATGCCCGTTGGAAATGTAAATTTAGGTAAACCGATTTCATGGGCTGCTCTTCAGAATAATAAGTACGACGTATTCATTAACGTCGTTGACCGGATATTCGAAAAGTCAGACACTTTTGAAGAAGCTCTTCAAGCATACAGAACGAAGATGCAACTTCCAAATGTAAAGTGAGTTTCCCAAACGACTGAGAATTCTCAGATATCCAATTTTTTAGTTTCGAAAAACAAACGATTAGAATATTTTTTGTGAAGAATATTTATGAGTGCAATATTTGACTTGTTTCTTTTCTAGGTTGATCAACTGTGCTGTATGTTCTTCTTCAACTACTTACAAAGAAGAACGGGATAATAATATCTTAACGATCCATGGTTTCGATGCCAGCGTTCCTGTAGTTATACAGGCTTTCGCAAAGTCACTGTTCTAATTGCTGCATGTATAGCAATTTCTTCTTTGGCAAGCAGTACTAGCTAAGTAATCACTATGTTTTTAAAACGACAACAATTTGATTCTTTTCTTGAATCATTTTTACGACATTGTCAATTAAAAATTGTTTTAACATATTTAAATATTTACAATCAGACTCGAAAAGAAAAAAGATAGTTTTCAATTATCTATAAGTGTTGCTAGTCTAACACAGTAATCAAGGCATGCAATAGTTTAACGAAGCTCTACTTTAAAGGTAGAACTGAAACAAGTCTTGAGTTTTCATTTTTATTGATCCTCCGGTATTAAGACATTATTGTTGAAAACTAATGTGTATGGATATTCAAATCCTAAAGAATGACTTGACTTTTTCTCTTTCTTTTGAGTGCCGAAGACATTTTTTAATCAAACAAAACTTTCTTCCGTTTATTGTGAAGCGATATTATACATTCAACTTTAGTACAAAATCTTGAACGTAAGAAATTAGGTACGTTCTTTTTCTTGTGTTTTTTTTACTAGTGTTTGACGTATCATGAGAAAGAATGTTCCGGCACTGAATAGAGTTATTTGGTACTAACGCCTATCATTATGATTATATTGTATTAATACTAACACACATTAATATTATTCAATAATATTTACTGCATGTTTTTAGCATTTAGGGTGAGCTGTGTAACCTATAGTGATTTCATTTTTGTGTTCCACAGGGTGGTCCAATTCTGTAAATATTTGTTTTAACAAACGGCACACCGATCATGCGAATTAATAATCGTAAAGTAAATGAATGTGATACATTCTGTGATCGAACAATCATTCGATTAGACAAAAAGGTAAATGTCTTGAATACCTATGGACCACTTGTTATCATTTTGGAACAGGAACACGTTTACAAATTGAACGCTTTCCATTTTATAAAATCAGTTGCGCAGCTAAATAAAAAAATAAATTAGGATAAGACTGCATATTAGATACAAAGCGAAGTATCTAAAGATAATATAAGGTGCCTTTTTAATTAATGGTAAAAAAGATACATTTACTTTAGTACTATTGCCTGCTTATTTCCACTGGTTGACGGTAAAGCTTTCGATGATATTCTGAATAAGATATATATATATATAGATTTTAATGCGATTTTAAAAACGATACAACTCCGGGACTGGTGCGCTTCTGGCGATTTGAATAAGAATTAAAAAACAAAGATAAAAAAAAAACCGGATAGAATGTTGAAAAATTTTCCACTGTGATATGCATTTAGCCCCAAAGAATATAGACTTACATTAGTATAATTTTACTGTTATATTTCATATTTGCCATATCCAAAGTAAATACGACAAATACTAAATACATTACTGATACTAATACTGTGATACAAAGTACATTGTTATTGTTCAAACTAAGTGAAAGGATAAGCGTAAACGAGGCCAGAGGCGCACCACATGTCTGTTTCGTTTGTTGATTAGTACATACCTATATCTTATTAGAGCATCAAATTTCGTTCGTTGAAAAAGAAGAGCGCGACACACACACACACACACACACACACACACACACACACACACACACACACACAATTCAGAAGAAATACCTCTTTCTCGAATTCTTTCTTGATCTTTGAATTACCATATTACTGAAAAACTTTTCGGTTTCAAAAGCGAGAAGTCGCTAAAAAGTAACTGCGTGGATGGAACTCTCAGGTCTGAAAAATATTTAAATTAAGTGCTTAATGTTCACGTGTTCTTTGCAGCCTGCTTGGTAATTCATAGCTCGATGGATCATTTTAACAGAAACACGTCCCTACGAATATAAATTTTAATTGTTTCGTAAAGCGTAAAAAAGAAGAAAAAGGTAAAATAACATTTACGTAAACACGGTATCACGTTTCATAGTGTAAGAAACAAACTAAGCGTTATAGGTATATGTATGAGCATTGTTAGAAACGTATAGTTGGTGGAAGCAGTGCACATGGTGTTCCAGTCAAATTGGGCATAATAAAACACACTCGAATTATAGTTGGAATATATTTCAGAAATTACGATTTAATTACTTGAGAAATTCGTTCGGACTCGTTTCTTTCTTCCTTATTCTATATGACTTCCACCATTTATACTAACCGTGAGGGTTGTATTTCTTTAAATGAAATTGACTTCGTAGTCTTTAAATTTTAGTTGCGCGATGCTTTGTCGAGGATTCTATAAACAATAAGTTCCCGAAATTAATAGTATTTTTTTAGAGAAATTTTTCCTGACCGATAAAACGTCGAGAAAATAAATGAAAAATGAAACGAAAAAAAAGAAAATTATTTATACATATAAAGGGTGAGACTATACTAAGTTCAACGAGAACTGGCACAAAATATAAACAGCTGCACGCGAGCGACGCATGTACTCGCCAGTTCCGAATCATAATCTTCGGGCCCTTTTACATGAGATTACTCTGTATGCAAAGGCCCTTGATTATTGATTAAAACTCGTTCATGAGCATCGTCGTCTAACAACTCGCCTGCAACCGCAGTTCTGTTTATATTTTGTGCCAGTTCTCGTNTGCCTTTTTAATTAATGGTAAAAAAGATACATTTACTTTAGTACTATTGCCTGCTTATTTCCACTGGTTGACGGTAAAGCTTTCGATGATATTCTGAATAAGATATATATATATATAGATTTTAATGCGATTTTAAAAACGATACAACTCCGGGACTGGTGCGCTTCTGGCGATTTGAATAAGAATTAAAAAACAAAGATAAAAAAAAAACCGGATAGAATGTTGAAAAATTTTCCACTGTGATATGCATTTAGCCCCAAAGAATATAGACTTACATTAGTATAATTTTACTGTTATATTTCATATTTGCCATATCCAAAGTAAATACGACAAATACTAAATACATTACTGATACTAATACTGTGATACAAAGTACATTGTTATTGTTCAAACTAAGTGAAAGGATAAGCGTAAACGAGGCCAGAGGCGCACCACATGTCTGTTTCGTTTGTTGATTAGTACATACCTATATCTTATTAGAGCATCAAATTTCGTTCGTTGAAAAAGAAGAGCGCGACACACACACACACACACACACACACACACACACACACACACACACACACACAATTCAGAAGAAATACCTCTTTCTCGAATTCTTTCTTGATCTTTGAATTACCATATTACTGAAAAACTTTTCGGTTTCAAAAGCGAGAAGTCGCTAAAAAGTAACTGCGTGGATGGAACTCTCAGGTCTGAAAAATATTTAAATTAAGTGCTTAATGTTCACGTGTTCTTTGCAGCCTGCTTGGTAATTCATAGCTCGATGGATCATTTTAACAGAAACACGTCCCTACGAATATAAATTTTAATTGTTTCGTAAAGCGTAAAAAAGAAGAAAAAGGTAAAATAACATTTACGTAAACACGGTATCACGTTTCATAGTGTAAGAAACAAACTAAGCGTTATAGGTATATGTATGAGCATTGTTAGAAACGTATAGTTGGTGGAAGCAGTGCACATGGTGTTCCAGTCAAATTGGGCATAATAAAACACACTCGAATTATAGTTGGAATATATTTCAGAAATTACGATTTAATTACTTGAGAAATTCGTTCGGACTCGTTTCTTTCTTCCTTATTCTATATGACTTCCACCATTTATACTAACCGTGAGGGTTGTATTTCTTTAAATGAAATTGACTTCGTAGTCTTTAAATTTTAGTTGCGCGATGCTTTGTCGAGGATTCTATAAACAATAAGTTCCCGAAATTAATAGTATTTTTTTAGAGAAATTTTTCCTGACCGATAAAACGTCGAGAAAATAAATGAAAAATGAAACGAAAAAAAAGAAAATTATTTATACATATAAAGGGTGAGACTATACTAAGTTCAACGAGAACTGGCACAAAATATAAACAGCTGCACGCGAGCGACGCATGTACTCGCCAGTTCCGAATCATAATCTTCGGGCCCTTTTACATGAGATTACTCTGTATGCAAAGGCCCTTGATTATTGATTAAAACTCGTTCATGAGCATCGTCGTCTAACAACTCGCCTGCAACCGCAGTTCTGTTTATATTTTGTGCCAGTTCTCGTTGAACGTAGTTTAGACTGTTTGAAAAGATAATAAAACAGTTTCTTTTCCCGAAGAATATTTTTCAAGTCGCGCATCTAGTTACTACTTCACTTATTATGAGAAATAGGACATCTAGGTTACATATGTATTCGTAGCTTATTTTATTTACCGATATCGTATGTATAGTAGTTTAATACATAGGGTGTTTCATTAATCTTGGCCTTTTCTCTTATGAAAGTAATTTCGTTCGTTTCCGAAGTGAATAGGTTCTTCAGGGTTCTGTTTATTTCGTGTTAATTATATTACTCTCTGGATCATTGATGAAACACCCTTATACATGCTGTAACTTAACGATCGAAAAGAAACATATAACTGTTTCGTGTATCATTTTATCAAAGCATACCAACTGCCAATTCGAATCGTTCACATTCACATAACAATACCTTTTTTAACTTATCATTTTGAAAATTGTTCATTTTTTCGAAAGATAGATTTTTGGAAACTCTGATTCAGTCAAAAGTCGATCAAAATTTCTGTTCGATCGTGAACCAGGTATGTTACTTGTAAACTGTAAGAATACGTCCGATGTATGTTAGAACAAGAAAAATGAAATAGGAGAGAAAAAAAGAGAAAGGAGATTTGCGAAAACCGCGCGAAGATGCGAAGAACAGCGAAGGCCGTCTGAAACAAATCGTGTACCCCCTCTTCAAGGCTCACTGATTTCAAGTTTCGCTATTCTGTCTAGTTGAAATAGACAAATACAATATGTTAAATGTGTTCATATTAGTTAAAGGAGAAAAGGAAGAAAACGAATATTTACCACTGAAAGGAAATAAGGATAGGAAGAAAGACAATTCCGCGTCGCATAGTAATTTAACAAGGATGGAGTTATCTTGATCGCGTTACCGTTCTATAAAATATGCGAACGAGAACACCGATTTTTTTCATATCGGAAGCGATCTTTTAATTTCCAAAACCGATATATTTGTAAGCGCAGATCCTTTAACGATAGATCCGCCTACTTCTAAATTGTTGTTGAAAAGATTTCGATCTTGCATGATGATTTACATAAATAAATCAATTGATTGAATAGCTACCGAGAAAATAGAAATAGGCTGTTTTGAGCAGTCCGAGTTAGGCCTGGCGTTAACTGATCAGCGTTTGTCGAACCAAACAGTAACAGAAGTGCGATTCACCGATTATCGGGATCCCAAAGTTTACACGAGTACAATCGAACCACGTTCCTTAGGATTAATGAAATTCAATATCGAAAGGAGAACCTTGCTGTAATCGCATTATTAGTGCATCACCGTTCAAATGCTCAACGTCTGTTTTCAACGTTCTTTAAATACCGTAAGATAATAAAAAAAGTACGGAAAGAATATTTAATTTTAACGTACAAAAAAGATAATGATATACCTCGATACCTAATAGGCAATAGGAACGCATAACGGAGCTGCACTAATTATGTCTCTCAGAAAAATGTGAAATTTCTAACTGACAATTAGAACGCCTATACTTTCGGCCTTAGAATTTTACGATGCGACGAAGAAAATACTCTAAACCCGCAAAGTAAACATCAAACTGATAAAAAAGAAATGACGAGATAATATTCTTATTATTTAGACATTTTTGTTTCGATAACGATATCTACGCTGCGGATATGCTTTGTCGTGGACTACTGTATGGAAAAATGGAAAGAAGAAATGTTTCTATGTTCGACGCTCTATAATAGTCAGGTAGTCTGAAAAAGAACGAAAATCCTCTGTTAAATGTTTCACTATGAGGAGCTACAAACACATAAAATCCGCAGTCTAATGATAGTTGTTATGTTCGAAGTCGAAACAGTTATTCAGAACGATACGATGTTCCTCTCGGGACAATAAATCGTTGGGAGAGTAAGATATACCGTTCATCGTTTTGCATGATTGCGTTCGAGTATTAGGATTGATATCAATCAAATTCTCTAATTCTGTTTCAAAGGGCGTTAAACCCCAGAAATTTGTTGTTGTCGAAACTGTACACCAATGAAAATTACATGTTACGTGAAAGAAATTTACTGAGAAAAGAATTCCGGCATCAAAACTGACTGTTAACGGGATTGTGACAATTATTTTTGTACCATAAGTGAAAATGTATTTAGTGACTGAACAGAAAGATATCGGAAAGTTATACAAAAAAGTAAAGAAAAAACTGAGTACTTTATATTACTATTATTGCGTCTGTTGATATTATATCTCGATATAATAGATACAATAGACTATCAAATTTATGAACTATTGATTTTGTCTATAAATTTTTAACTGTTTTTGTTACTCGGTCAAACTTTACCACCGAATAAAATTTATTTGAAATCCACTTCCAGGAAGAAAAATCTTTTTTCCCGTTGCGCAAAACATTTATTTAAAAAGAATGCTCGCCTATAGTGTTATCTACCTATTATTCGTTATTCGCTAGATAAAATATAACTATACCGTGTGAAAGGGTTTATTTACATAAGCAAGTTTGAAAATTTTTAAATAATCGCCATTTGTAACAAGAGCTCAATTTTTTATTATCTTTATTTATATAGAGACTATAAACGGACCCTAAGATACATATAGCCCATAGGTCTTGTTACATAAACTTAGATACCACAGATATTATTCCAACTTATTGTCTACACTTAAATTTAGATAACTACATCTTTGTAATTAGAGGTACATACTTTGTATTTTTTATGGCTTTATGTTGAGACAAGAGGTGAAGTAGAACAAAAAGCAATGGAAAAGAAAATGGCGATAAAAATGAAGGGAAAAAGCACAGATGCAGGCCCCAAAGGTAGAAAAGTGAAAAGACCTGGTACCTATCTCATTGAAGTGGGATTGAAACATGAGCAAACAACAGTTAATGAAAGTAAAAACTTTATTAAGATATATAGAAATATTAATCCATTGGGTAAAGAGATAGAATCTGTTAAAATATATGATCTCAAAATCAATAGCAGAAGTTTGTACTAAATCTATAAATGTAGCAAATGAAATTATAAAGCATTTTGCAAATAGTAGTACTAATCCATTTGTGAATTTATACCACGAAGAGCATTAGAGAGCTTTGGTATAATTATGGAGTGGAGTGGAACCTTAGGAGAACTGAAAAAGGAACTAGCTAATGATCAAGGCCAAATGTAGATTGAATGGATTAAGAAAAGAATGGTTAAAGATGGCGAAGCCAAGTGAATAGATAGCAAAGCCATTCTAGGATGGGGACATGTATGGTTGAAAGTGACTCCGTGTGTAAGAAAGGTAAAGATATGTTTTTCAGTGTCTGAAGTTTGGACATATAAAGAAATACTGCAAGTTGGAAGTCAAGTGGTGTTTCAGGTGTTTGGGAGAATTTCATTGGACATGTGATAAGATAGATTTCTGTATAATGTCCCATCTTTCGCTGTGGTTAAATACTTGTCGACTTTCTCCTGTTTTTTAATTGTATCAAGTCTTTCTATTTTTCCAACTTTGGAACCTGCATCTATGCTTCCTTTTCTCTTCATCTCTATCGCCATTTTTCTTCCGTCGCTTTTTTCTATCTCAATTCTTAATTGTCTCTTTCTTGCAAATGATTAAATTGACACGGTGTCAAAATCGACTATCATTTCTTTATCCTTAGCATTTTTTTAAAGACATATTTATTGTGCTTTGGCTATCCAAGCCAACACAGCGTGAAGCCCAAATTAACCCTACTCCTCCTTCCTCTCTGGACACTTCGCCTCATCTTCTAATCATTTCTCCATCTAACTCTCTATCACCCTATACACATCCCTTTTTATCGATTTATATGTTCTCACTTTTTCCTCTTTTTTTTCGCTTAATACTTCAGTTTTTAATAAACTTGATCCGTGAAACTCGTCTGTCATGAAGCCCTCAAGTTCTCAAGTTTTAAAGTGTCCTCAAAAAGCTCTCTGTGAGGCTTCGTTCAATCTCCATACAGCACTAATTGGGTTAGTGACAAAACGCTCAAACTGTTAGCCAAATTACCGACTGTCAGTAATTTGGCTAATGGTTTGAGGGTTTTGTCACTGCACCCTGTCACAAATGGCGCTATTATTTAATTTCCAAGGAGCTTACAGGTTCATGGAGATAAATTTATATTCAATCAATGAAATATCAAAGAGCAGTGAAAGCAATTTGAGTATTATAAAATTTATAACAGCTAATAATACAAACACTGCAGTCACCACCAGTGATTTATGAAAGTTTTTGATTTATTTGGCTCTGTACAGATTTGCTACAAATTTTATTATTGTTAATAATACCGTCGTACATTTGTAATCAGTAGGGCTATTACGCTTGCGTCTTTGTCCTTTATATTGTATTACCGTACACGAATCAAAATATCTGAGAATGCAAGCTAGAATTAGAGTTCGGTATACGCGAGCTAGAATGTTCCTCTTATTATCGTTGCAGGGAAAAATGAATTTATTTACCTGTTATCGGTATCGGGCAGAAGGAGACTTAAGTTTACTTTTGCACCAGAGTAAATTTAAAGACCTGCTGAGCGAGTACGTGGTTCGTAGTAGAAATCGGAAACGTCTGTTACGTTTCGTTTCCGGTGGCGGCGGCGGCGGTGACGAGAAAATGCTTGAATTCGATCGAGTTTGGGAATAACCGTTCTTGGCTAGGTACAACAGCTTCACAATAATTTAGCGCATGATAGTTCGCTGCGGATAAGCACGCGGGTCGGAGAGTAATATACATTCATACAAACTCGCATGATATTCAAGCTTTTACAATCGGAAACGCTACCAGCGTTTCGTCACGATTACAAAAATCCTTGGATAAATACTGTGTCGTAGTTGGCGAAAGTTAGCTAAAGATGTAATTCCTACCGCTCGAATCCTTATAACTTAACGAATTCATACTTCGAATTATATTATTTATATATATATATATATATGCATATGTATAAACATAGTACAGACGAGACTGATCAATTATTCATATTACATATTACAGTATTATTAATAGTATTCTGACTGTTATTTAAAAAACATTGTACATGTACACGTGTCGTTGCCGATAAATCGTACGCTAGTACGCGGATATGACTCCGCTATTCCTTCTTCGTCTTCGTATATCTCATTTTATACAAGATAAAACTCCGGTACGAGCACCGGTGAAAATGAATTATTAAATATAAATTACCATTCGCGCGGTTCGAATCAATCGAACATCTCGTATTTAAAAGAAATATGCTAATCCGACCAGCCAACTAGAGTGCAGTTGGATTAACACTAAGTTTGACGCACTAACGTTCGGAAACGAGGAGGGAGAAATAGATTTCCTTAACATTCCTTGCCATTCGAACACATAAGATTATACAATAATCTTAACAATCAATACATATTCATACAAAGTGTTTGAGAAACTTCTGCAAAAATTTTCTATAAGTATCATTTCGTAAATGCCTTAAGTCTTAAAAAAAGATTCACGCAAATCTTTGGGTCGAAATGATTCGTAAACTACAGCAGCTATTTACTTATGAATAGACTGTGGAAGATTATGTTAATATATGTATATTCGTACATGGAAGAAAGTAATTAACACTACGAGATTTAATTTCACAGATAATTTCAGTGAATCAAATACGGAGTGAGGCAATATGAAAAATTTGTATGCGCTATAAATAACGAATTTTTTTCGCATCGACGTTTGAACAGAACGACTCGAAGTTCAGGGAGGTTCCTTTTTCGGACAAGCTCAAATTCCCCTTGATAAAGGAAATTATTATTTCTCGTCAGAAAAAGGGACCTCCCTAAACTTCGAACCACTCCGTTCAAACGCCCACGCAAGCCAAATACGACCGGGTATTGTGGTTTGGTTGATGGCCAACCTATATAGGGTGGACGGTGACGAGAAATGATAATTTCCCTTGTCAAAAGGAATTTAAGTTCGTTTAAGTTGTACAGAGTAGGTTGTAAGAAAATATAAATTATACCATCAAAAGAAGATTGTGAGTACTTATTCGAGGCTACTCGGACACACGAATTTTGTGCTGGTACTAATCCCCCGCCGAGTTGCCACCACAAATACATAAAATTCACTGACTTACTAACAGGTCGGTTTGTCTTTGTTTTTATAATAATACACATTGGCAAAATTGGTGAAGAAGTTTCTCAAAATCTCTGTTAATGTAAGTGTATGTACACATAGGTCGGGTTGTACATTGAGCTGACTCTTTGTACACAAAACTTAGTGAAAGTATATGCATAACAATTTCATATGTGCTAATTAATTTATTTTCTTCAATTGGGATTATTGTTTATGTATTGATGCATATATCAGAATTCATCATTACTGAAAATGCGATTTGTCTTTGTCAGCCCTATGAAGTTGAGTTTTATATCCTATCAAGGTGACAAGAACCACATAATGATAAAAACTAACTATTGTCTTAGGTTCACAACAATGAGACTTACATGTAACACGTTCTAAAAATGAAAGGAACAGTTTCAACGGATTAAATGTCAAAAATTATTTCTGTGCTTTCGACTCTTTCCACATCATGTACATACACGAACATTCATATATAGAAAGTATATGTATGTATATATACCTTATCAATATTCACCGTACCTCACCAACATCGATGCAAAATAAATCACAATCATATTCTTCCTGTTTAAAATTGGCAACTGTGATCCTCACCGTAACAGTAGTTATAAGTTGTTATCGTTGAGTTTCCTCCACTAAACGCTAAAAAATATGAGTCCCCTCACTCGTTCGGTAATTACATAGTTCTTACTTATAGTAAACGGAGTATTTTGGTTTACGACACTTCGCTGTTAAGAACCTTGGTTCTTCGCGCATTGTCTGTGACAATGGAAGATCACTTGGAAACATAGAAAAGACCGGATACCTGTCGTTACACTCGTTGTATCTATGTACCTAGCCGAGCAAGCATATGAAAACGTTTTAAGGTACAAGTATTTTACGAATCTTATACACAAAAAAAATGAACAGGATATTAGCTCTGCTATTTGACTTAGTTCCGCGTACGCATCTTTCACGTACGGGGTATATAAATATATACAGAGCATTTTTAATGAAACGGTGCATACAAAATGTTGTTTCCATAAATTCTGAATTGTATAACATAAAAATAATAACATAAAGCTGTTCAATGATTCATTACTATTCATGACGATAAAGAGGATAGATAAGTCATCGATAAATTTTTTGAAACCCACGCGGTGGCGGGCCCCGCCCCACTGAGTCGTTTTGTACGTGCACCCATTCTGTCGCTAAAGAGTTCACAAAATAAAGATCGATGTTTTAACAAAAACAATCACTGTGATTTTCTCGCGCAAACGAATCCCTTCAATACTTTGAATGGTACTACATACGTGTCTAAGAACTTACTGTCGTTTCTTCTGCACTATTGAAACTTAACGGAAACCGTTGAGTAAGCGGATTCGCTGGTTCTGGTGCTACTTTCACATCCGACGAGTCCTCTTCTGTTCACTTGCACCCAAACTTCTAACGAGCAAGAGACGTGGAAGTTTCGTTGATGAAAATGAATGTACGAAAGAATGGGTAAAAAGGACAGGAAAAACTCGTCAGCTGTTTGTTTTAGCTGGCTGTGGTGGTGGATGCCAGCGTAGTTGGTCACGCGAGATTCGTTTCTTGTTCGCCCCATCCTTCGCTGTCGCACTCGCTTTCTGAAGCTGAATCGCTGTCGCTGAACTCTACAGCAACGCGTCTTGCCAATATAGACGCGACGTCGTTCAACGCGTTCACGCGCTCCACTTCTTTCTGTTCGATTTTCTCCACCTTGCGCAATTTAATGCCTAAAATATAACAAATACATTTTTAATTACAGATTTCACCGAAGACGTATATATTTTACAGTCCCTAGGTTATGCTTTTCAATTTCGTAGATTTCGTATTTTATAGACACTTTGAATGATCTGAAAGAAACCCAACTATATAACAAAATTTAATAATAAAACGTAAAAAGACAGAACCTGTCGTTAATAATCTTGCAGTCGATGCGACATTAAACTTAAAAGAAGAAAATATTAACAACAGCGCGATGGTGATATAATACACTAATTTAAAACCACATTGAAAAATAATTTTAAATCTCTAGTCTACACTTAAATAATTTGTACTGCAACCATAAAGTTGTGACCGCAGCGCATCTGTTCATGAAGCGGAAGGCGCTGTGAATTCTAATTAATCGAGTTAGGATATAATTACCGTCTCTAATTGCTTTAAGTAGATCGTTTCGTGGATCGACAAGGGGGATGTTCGGATTAACGGGCTTCCTCAATTGCCCGTCCATATTCTTCAGGGGTTTCAACTTCGGCCGATTGGTCGCTATCATTTTAGCAATATCGCCGTTGGTTAGAGGCACCTGTGGCGGCGGTCCATTAGCAACAGGCGGTGGCGGCGGTGGCGGAGGCGGGGGTGGGATATTACAGGGCGGAGAAATAGGTCTGGTTGGTGGTGCGGGATCCGGAGTCGGAGGCGGAGGCGGCAAATCTTGCGGCGCTGCTGGATCGGTTTCATCCGTTCCGATTTGTGTTAAATGATTTGGCGGAGTGGGCGTGGAGTGGTGACTGGGTAATGGACTGTTCGAGCGACTTCCATTCCTGTTCAATAGATGCGACGGTATAGAGCCTGAAACATGCGTAAATGATAGGTAGGTCAATGTCTCGTACCATAATTCAGTGGTGCTAAGAAATACCTTAAAACATTATCTAGACGATCATGCCTTCGAAAAAGATATGATGCATTAGATGAATGCAAAGGACGATTCAAAGCAGAGCCATACACAAAGGACTATTCCTTCAGGTTCAATTTTTCAAGCCTGTTTCAGGAAGATCAGGACAAAAGAAATATTTGATTTGACTATCCACATATAGTTCAGTTTTCTTCAAGATATATATTTCTTGAACTAAAAAGCTTGATTTTGTTTAAATCATCCTCTACTGAAGAATGATTAGTAGTTAGTTGGAGACTATCGTTACCATTCATAGGCGGTGGAGACATCGTTTCACCAGGTGGTGGAGGTGGTGGAGGCAGAGTATCCCTACTGGTACTCATCGACCTTCCCCGTGTTGGCGTATTATTAGCAGAGGCTACAGTAGGGGTTGAATTGCTAGAAGTATTGCTTGGTGGCGCTGGCGGTGGCTGCGAAGGTCGCGATCTGCCACTTCTACTTGGTGTGCTTTGACTACTAGGGCTCTGATACGTCTCACTGCCAGCCTGTCCTTGTCCAGAACCATAGTGTGAACCGTATAGGTTGTCTTCGTAACCTTGTGCGACGTAATTTGCAGCCCTGTAATTAAACAAACGCCAATGAGCCTTCCTCTCAGTTTTCTATAAATAAAGCATCTCCATCGTTATAATAAACACGAACACACCGCCGATCGATCTTCCGGGTCGCTAACATGCTTTGTATCTTGTTGCAAACACTTATTTATATTAAAGCTTTAAACTTATTTATATATCCTGGTTGTCCACGTGAGGGTTCATAAAATATGACTATTAAGTAAAGGGATCTTCCAGCTGAGTGGCGTCCAAGATATCGGCTTTTTCATCAATAAATACAGATCTCCTTGCTTATATCTTGTCTTCTTTTTTTTTGTTTAAAATGAATACAAGTTACTGGACTACTATTACTATCATTGCTTCCTGACTTACTCTAAATTTACCTTCATATGATTACATGATTAACACACTTTTCACTTTTTCTGAGAAAGTAGTATGTCTTGTATATCCAGTTAGTACTTGCAAACGATGCATATAATCTTGTCTTAATTTATAATCTCGTGTTGTCAATGTTTCATTCTCGTAGGAAGAATTTTTCTATAATATTTTAACTTACCAGTCTTTCATTCTCAAAGAAAGAATTTAGGAATATAGTCATTCATTTTTCTACCTAACATTGATTTCGACCGGAGGATAAATTTTGCGGGCGAGTTGGAAAATGAAGATTGCATCCGGACTAATTCGGTTGCATTTTTAAATAACGATGCGTATTTTACAAACCTATAGTGATCGGAGGATGGAGGACTGTAAAGATGCTGCTCCTCTGGAGGGTAGCTTCGTCTAAGCTCGATGCTGTTGGGCCTCGGCGGCCGCTGTTCGGTCATCACCATTCCCAGCAACGATTCGTCAGGGATGTTGTGGGGTGCCCTGTACTGGACAGCCTGCGTTGGCATAATATACTCCCCATGTCCGAGGGCCAACTGTTTCTGCCTTTCTCTCGTATTATGCGGTTGCCTTATGCGCTTCTTATGCCTGCCGCCGCCTCCACCGCCACCCTCGTTCCGAGGCCTATGCGGCTGTGACGCAAAAAGATCCTTTGTTAAACGGTCGCCTCGATCGATTGTTGCGGCAAAAAGTGCAAGACAAGCTCAATTTCGTCAGTCAAGCATGACTCGATGGCTGATCCATTATATTTTGATTATATGTAAGAACGCGTGTCATTCTGGTTTCTCTAATACCATGGAGTATGGCGTCGCATAGTCGTTGCTAACGAAGACTTTGGGTCTAATAGTCTGGAAGATTCTTGAATATGTGCATATTTTTTTGTTTGTAACTCAAAGATCCGCTTTGATCTTTCTAAAGATAATGACACTTTTACCTTTCTTTAAAGCAAGGGATGTTTTAACGAATTAAAGAAATAGTTTTTATTTTCTCTATTGGACTTTTGAGTTTAGAGAAGATGTATTAGAATGTATTAGAAACCATATGGATATGACTCGGTGAAACGGGACTAACTTGTACTGTTTACTTCTTGCAAGCATTTAATGCAAACTGATAGTTACGAGATAACAGTATCCACGGTAAACTGATAATGCTACTATCGTTAATAGTAATGTCATGTACTCTGATCGTTTCCGTAATGCACAAGAATTGCATAGTAGCAGGCAATGTATTGCTTGTTTAGGAATAGAGTAAATGGATTTTCAAAATTGTCATAAGTTTCTTTTATGCGATTCGAATTTCTGAAACAATGAAATCGGTTTTAATTGAACACTGTGTTATAATATATGAAATGGGTAGGAAATCTTAATTTGTCCAAAATACCGGACATACTTAGTAGAAATTATATAACAAAAATTAAATTAGAGAATTTACAATGATCTCTACATAGATAAAGCGGTTTCTTAGTCATACTTCAGCAACGACAAGAAAAATATTCTCGCATCAATTTTGGGGAATCGGTTGTTTCGAAATTCTGTCGAGTACAGGACCAACCACCGAACATGAATGTTTGTAGGAAATAAAAACAGCTCTTCGAAATATCGTACAAAGAACAACGGTAACGTAACAAACTCTCAAACCAGTCGGACAATGGCAAAACAATTGCGAGGACGTTCTGTTCTATAAGTTTTATTTCCTACGTAATGAAGTACAACGAATCGGAAACGAAATAATAATCCTGAAATGACTCAAGATCATGGTGTTTCGTATCGATTTGCAGAAGATGACTCGTGAGAATGATGATGAGAAACTTCTATTGAGTACATCCAAGAGTTGCATGAATGGCGCAGAACGGCATTACAAGTGATCTCGATAAGGTGATGTATGATAAGAAGTTCAAACTAGACGAGTTCGAAAACAACTCGTTGGTAAGAAGGAGCCGAATCAAGGGTGTAACCGTGTAGATTGAACATTATATCAAGTTTCAGTGGACAAATTTGTCACGGTATTGTAAATCTAAGTGAAATGTATGTCCTTTTACAAATAGCATCGCCGACAATATTTTCATCGACAATAGAGCGTAGAAAGAAGAAGGCAAGAATGCATAGAGCAATCGACACGATTCTAAGAAATCTCTAATTGATGTAGTGAGCATTGTTAGCATAATGTATAGATGCACTGAACAATTTTAGAACAAATGCAACATTTAAAAAAAGCAACGCTGTACTTGTTGGTACAACCGAAAATGATATTTCAATAGTCGTTCATAATTTAAGATCAAAGAAAAAAACGCTAAAAATTAATATTATATATAAGAATTAAGTCACACATATTGCAGTATAAAATCGTTCTCAATTTTTTATTAATGTGTACTGTATCTCTATCTTATGGATAGAATATTTATTTTGTACTGGTATTTTAGTAAAATAATATGAGTTCGATAAGATACTAGTGACGAGAGATTATAAGGTGAAAATAGATAACTTATCAGAAAATTTGATATTGGAATTGAATAAGATACTATAATATCAAATAATCTGATAAATCTATTCGGCTATTTCTTCGTTGTGATCTCGTCACTGCTCTCGCTACATTTTGAGGTGAACTGTCTCCTAGACACTGAGATAACGAATTATAGATTGAAGAAAATAGAAGCAAGCAGTCAGTCAGCCAATAATACACATGGACCCGATATCACTGTCTCGTATAGTTGTCTTTTTGGTCTTAAGAGAAAGTACAAAGGGAATGCAAATAAATTTTTATCTATAAAATTATGTATCGATGAATACATTGTCAACGGAATTTTCGTGGTCGATGCGACAGAACAACGTTCGGTCTACACTTTACACAACGCAACTCACGGCCAAGAACCGAGCATTGGAAGAATGCGATGTCGTTGTCTAATCCTAGCGAGTAACTACAAAAATTGTCAAGCGAGCATCTATCTATAGCGCAATCTCTCTATCTCAGCGCAAAAAGGTTTCGGTTAATGAAAAACCACAAAGAAGTGAGCTTTGATTATGTATGAGTGAGTGGCTGGCGATCGATATATATGTATAAATATATATAAATATATATATATATAAAGTTCATTAAAAAACTGGGTGGTAAAGGGTAAGAAAAAAACTACAAAGATCCAAACCATCGACTTGCCTCTCTGAACGGTTCGGCATATTCAGACTCGGTCTATAATCAGTGGGACAGTTTCAGTTGTTAGAATCGTAGCATAAGCTTAGTAGTACTTCAGAAAAAGAATTAAAAAAAGAGTAATATTCATTTGAATCGTGGTAACTGTGCACCTCGAGAAACGTAACATAGTAAAACATGTGTATTCAAAGTAAAAAAAAAAGTACCTCACAAAAATATGTTAAACACCATCAACAAAAGGAAAAAAATATGAAAATAGATCTTTTCGGATAACATGTCTAGAAGAGAAGAATCGAGGTGCACGCGCAGAAACCAGAAAGATATGGTGCCCCGTACCTTCTTCCCCCGATCGTGCAGCTTCTTTTCGGTGTCCGAAAAGATATCCTTGAGCATTTCCCGACTCCACAGGTCGAAGAAGTAGTTAGGATCCGTGTAGAACTTCAGACCGTCCTTGCCATCCTCCCTGAAAGCCGTGTTTCATTAGCCCAATCTTATTATTATATATAATCAATTTTACTGTATATTAAGAGATGATCTTATTCTTTTCAATGTTTAAAAAAGGATCATTTTCACTCCAGTAGTAACACGATTGAGTTTACGGAAAATAATTCTCGACCAGCAAAGTCTAAATTCGTTACAGTCTAAATTAATGCAACTCTTCGGAATAGGGGACAGATAGAAACATTTATCTACTTGTAATCCGTAAGGAAATTCAATAAATATTTATTATTTAGAAACATTTATCGTTAATTATATTCTTAAATTGTTCTTAATTTCCTACTTTCAATTTACCTAGTGATTTTTATTACTTTTTATTACACAAATAGACCGCGGATTTTAAGCATTTATGGTAAAAACGAGTGGGTATAATTTAAAACAGTGATAAGATTAAAGGAAACTAAGAACGTTGACGTATTAATTTGTACTTATTCGTATTCTTAAGGGAAGAAAAGAGCTGACTCCTACGACTTGCGATTGATGCAGACAATTTTCGTTTCGCATAAAGATACGCTGGTTAGAAGCATAGATAAAGTTTCTGCAAACTTTCTAGCATCCAATCCGAGCGTTTCCTTTTCCTAGGCATTGGTAAACTGAGAGTAGTGAACAAAAATGAGACTGATTCGAAGTGATAACATTCGCCGAGGATGCATAAATACCTGTAAACGTTAAGTTTATCGAGAGGTGGCGGCGTATCGCATTGATGGTAGGTCTCCAGCATCGCCGTGGGCATGGTATCCCTGGAGACAACCTGCTGGTCGAACACCACCGAGCTCTTGAACGCCTTCCTCATGTGTATGTCTTGCAGAGACACTGGAAACGACGATGTTGAATTAATATTAATTCCATGGAATCAGTTTCAATTAGCCAGCTAATAACACTGATCGGAACCCGAGTGATTCCAACCCCTGGCTGTACTCTACACTTATCCAACGCACCTTCCTCGACGTTGCTGTCCAGTTGAGTAACCTTCACGGCCAGCCGGTCTATCCTAGCTTGCAACGAGTTCGCTCTGTCGCTTAATCCGTGAGCCTCCCTCGCAAGCTCGCCAAACATATCTTCGGCGTGCCTCGACAGGCTGGACAGTTGCCTAATTGTATTGGCCAAGGTACCATTGGTTACAGCCTCCAGTTCCGATGGCAGCGGAAAGTTCTCGGGTATGGTGCCACGTGCGACCAGCACCGGCTCCACCAACCGCTTAGGCAGCGGCATCTTCTAGTTTCGATGTTTTCCTGGATTTCGATGGATCACTCTCCGTCGATCTGTAACAATCAGTTTAGAGAGTCTATTAGCACACCCGCTGAAAATTCACAGATTCTTGGGTTTTATTGGATAGAAATAGTTTTCTTGAGTTCTTAACGAATACACATATAATACTCGATTTAAGAATGCGAAGACAAGTTTCTGATTTTTCTATTATTTAATGAACGTTTACTGTAAGTAAAGATATTGATACAAACTAGATCTATATATTGTTTTTCTTTTTTTTAACAAAAATAAGACTCAATTTAAAAGCATAAAGAAAGGTTTCTGATTTTTATATTGTTTAATGAACGTTTCTTGTAAATAAAGATATCGATACAAACTGGAACCATACAGGGTGTTGAAACGAGAAATGAGGGGTTCCTGAGGTCATTCGAAGTAACTTTTTCCTTTACAAAAATTTTCTCCGAGGCATCGTTCACGAGTTATTAACAAAAAAGCACTGACCAATGAGAGCTGAGCTCGACTGGCGCGAGGCGGCCGAGCTCACCTCTCATTGGTCACTGTTTTTCGTTAATAACTCGTAAAGGAGGCCGCGAATTGTAGTTTCGCTGAGGAAAAAGTTACTTCAAATAACCTCAGGAATTCCTCATTTCCCGGAAATACCTGAATTTTCAAACATCCTCTATATTGTTTTAATAGTGAGCTCGGATTTTACAAGGATATACGATTTGTACCAAATATTCATAATTATGATTCTTGATGCAAAACTAATTTCTCAGAATGAAATTCCGAAGACTACAGTTAAATAGAGAACTTGGAAGTTCTCTTAAGAACTTACGTTGTTTTAGTAGAATTCGTTAGGAATTGTTTAACTAGCTAAATCAACGTTTTCCTTTTTGAGATTCTTTTGCTGAAGCGACGTTGTTAATTCAGAATAATTACTTTCATAAAAGAATAGCCTAGCTTGAGAATCTCTCGAACGTTTCTGATACATTTAGTATTCAAACGTCTGCCTTTTTTAAGTTTAAAGTGCAAAGAAACAGGTTGAAAGTCGATTAACTCGATTTCTTCTTTTAGCAATTTCAGCATCGAAACATTCTGAATTAAATGCTGATATGATCCTTTATGAAAAATGCTAACTTTGAGCACGATAATGCGTACGCTTTTTCGACGATATCGTTTTCATACGTTCCACGTAATTAAAGTAATTCCACGTAATGAATAAAGTAATTCCCCGTAACGAAGTAAAGATTTTCGTTTCAACGATTGTTTTATCTCGGTAGTCCGAGCAAACATCCTCATTAAGAAAGACTATCCGAACAATTTGTGCCGCTGAGACCAGCGGGCTTCCAATTATCGGAAAATTATCGGCGCACCGTGTATATCGATTGATCGTGACAACCTCGTGACAGAACGTTCGGTACGATCGCACACGTGGGAACGTAATTTGCAACGGAGTAGACAGACGAGTGCAAAGACGACACTGTACGCCCTTTGTGGGAACACGTCGGCTACATCGAGGCTGTTAACGGGATGAATATTCGATCTGCCGATGATCCCTTTAATCCGTCTCTCCGTACAATTCGTCGCTGTCTTCTCGCTCCGCGACGTGCCAGACATTTTTTTTTACACATTCATTTCGTCGCCCGCGTAACGATCCCGCCGAAATACTCGACGAGACGGCATTCCGACTCGGAGATCCTTTAATCCTAATTGACCTCGCGACTATCATTTCATTTCACTTCGAGATTATAGTCGATTGGGAGATGTATTGGTTCGAGTATTCATTTGACGATCTCGCGAAACGCGTTGAAATGAAAGTAACGAAATCTAAACGAAGTTAAATCTGGACTTCGCTCTCTGATTAAGAGCATTGTTCGAGTAGAAGAGCTAATCAATTAAACCCCTGCACTCGAAGCCGTTTTAACTGTGCAGTTTCAAAAACAGCTTTCCCGACCTACAATATTTTCATTTTGTATAATCTGGCGCATTTCATGCTAATGGCATTGCGCGTGTGTGATTCAGGCGAGAGTTTCACTTCTAATAATTTTTAAAATACGAACGTCGATACCGTAAAAATGATTTTCGAATGTATTACAATTTTCAGTGCGAAGGGTTAATGTCGCGCCCGTTTTTCACAAGTATCTTTATGTTAATTTCCTCGCAGGAACGCGTACAAGAATATTGCGCGAACAGTTCGTCGTATAAGCGTTGGAAACGATACGTTTATCATATTGGATGAGTAATTATTGTTGCAGGAAGTTGCCGCTGCTCCTGCCAACCGCAATCTGTATTCTATTTTGCCATCAGGATTTCTGTTTCATTCGTTTCGCGATTATTATTCGATCGTGTTATTTGTCGGTAGCAAATAAAATGCTTCGTAACTATTCCATGACTTTCGGAACATTTTTAGATCGTCGATGAACGACTGAATTGTTCTCTATAATACCGAATAAGTTTTCGGTATCTCGCTTTGCTATAATAAAACATGATATCTGCAAAAGCTGACCGATATCTATTTCGTAACTCACACCGCACGCGGAATATCCATTAGTAACTTAACGCCGCCGCTGGCATCTAAATGTTCCACAGCCTCCAGAACAAGACTAATTTATTCCGCAAACTCGTGCATTACGTGGTCTGCACGATGCACAAGCTAAAATAAATATGATGCTCACGAGGATAATCACGTAAGCGCGCAGTTGGAACGATGGAACACGTAGATATCATCGGTACACTGTCAACCGCGAATTTAAAAAATTGATTTTACCATCGTGAGTTGCCACGTGCAGAGAATTTCAAATCAAGAAATTGCCATAGTTTCCATTGTACTCGAATATTAATATATTCGATATATATTGAATATTAATTTATATTATTTAATATTTAATTAATTTAAATTATTATAGTTTATATTCTTTATCGTAGATAAAATGCCGCGACGCGAGAGAAACGGAGCGATTCGCAACGATATTATATTAATTATATATAAATTATATATATATATATATATATAATTTATATATAATTATTATAATATCGTTGCGAATCGCTCCGTTTCTCTCGCGTCGCGGCATTTTATCTACGATAAAGAATATAAACTATAATAATTTAAATTAATTAAATATTAAATAATATAAATTAATATTCAATATATATCGAATATATTAATATTCGAGTACAATGGAAACTATGGCAATTTCTTGATTTGAAATTCTCTGCACGTGGCAACTCACGATGGTAAAATCAATTTTTTAAATTCGCGGTTGACAGTGTACCGATGATATCTACGTGTTCCATCGTTCCAACTGCGCGCTTACGTGATTATCCTCGTGAGCATCATATTTATTTTAGCTTGTGCATCGTGCAGACCACGTAATGCACGAGTTTGCGGAATAAATTAGTCTTGTTCTGGAGGCTGTGGAACATTTAGATGCCAGCGGCGGCGTTAAGTTACTAATGGATATTCCGCGTGCGGTGTGAGTTACGAAATAGATATCGGTCAGCTTTTGCAGATATCATGTTTTATTATAGCAAAGCGAGATACCGAAAACTTATTCGGTATTATAGAGAACAATTCAGTCGTTCATCGACGATCTAAAAATGTTCCGAAAGTCATGGAATAGTTACGAAGCATTTTATTTGCTACCGACAAATAACACGATCGAATAATAATCGCGAAACGAATGAAACAGAAATCCTGATGGCAAAATAGAANATATATATATATATATATATATATATAATTTATATATAATTAATATAATTAATATATATATATATATATTATATTATTATATATACACATTACGATTGAAATATTCTGAGAGGAAACCAAAGCGAGTCTAACCACGCGTAATATCATAAAAAAAAATATTATACGCACAAACGGAAACCGCGTTTATTTATTCGAAGACTTCGAATAAAGGTACCGATAAAAGACGAACATTTTATTCGACGCTACGAATGCATGCGCATCGTATAAAAAGAATGTCGTTATTCGTCGGTTAAATTCTCGTCGCATAAAGATAATATTTTTTACTCGAACCTTCGAAGAACGAATAAAAACTTTCTCATCGTTTCTTCGTTATTCGAAGCCTTCACTTCGATGAACATTTTTCCGAACTCTGGCCGACGATCGGGGAACTCCTCAAAAATTGTCGTGTTTGCGCAACATTGTTTAGGAAGGAGGAATTTGCATAAACATTCCGGGTCGGTTTACGACTGGATCGAGCAGCGGAGCAGAGCCGACGACGCGGAGGAAGCGGAATATCCGCGGCAACATGCGATCGTTCGTGTCCGCGGCGGCCAAGCACACAGAAGAGGATTTTTCTCGTCTTGTCCCGTCGATGGTGTACCTTTCAATCTGGGGAACGAATTCTAACGAGTGCAATGACTGCGGCCTCGCCTTGACTCCTTTCCTTTCCTTACGTGTTCCCTCGTTGCGATCCCATTGGCCCCGATTAACTTGCCCCGGTTCTTGCCTCTTATCGTTCGCCGCGGCTCTCTTCAGGGTCAATACGCGACGGATAATTAGCTGTTTAGAATCAGCGCAACCCCTGCGTGCGACGACGGGCCCGCACGCCGATCGCGACCGTCTAACTTACGTTTTATAGGAGACATTAGCTTGAGACAATAGGAGACAAATCTCGGCGCGAGATTTTTCACGGAATCGGAACGCCGCGTTTTATCGGCCCATTGTCGCCAATAATTGTCATTATCATGATTGTTTTACGCTCGCTTCGTTGCTATCTGACTGCAGCTGTTTACACGGTCATTCAATTCGTGGCGACAATGTGGCAAAAGCATTGTGTGATCGTGATGAAATTACCTAACCGAAATTCAATTCGATACAGGTCAATGTAACTTTGAAGTCGCATACAGACTTACGAGGTTTTTAATTTAATTTAACTTTCGGCAAAAATATTGTGCCATCGCGACAGAATTGACTAAGTGATATTCAATACTTTGTAACTTAATGTAACTAGGATGTTGCAAATAGATTTATCAGATTTTTAATTTGATTTAACTTTCGGCAACAATGTGGAAGAAGTAT